CCTAGATGCAGTCAACGTTGTTCTAAAAATCGACCCACTTATGAACATCACGTGGCAAAAAGAAAAATATTAATCACCCATTTCATTTGGCAAAGTTCACCCATTTCAATTAAAATGTGGACCGCACCTCCTTTTTCCATAACAATGCATAATGACTTTTCTTTTTGGACTCGTGAAATTAATGCTCATATATTTTTATTAGCCTTGTAATGTAATTAAGTAATCATGTGATTAATAAGACAGATTATATAACAATTGAGAAAAGTGAAAATTATGATATTTTGATATTTAAAATATCATGATTGTTAGTAAAACAATTTAAATATTATTAATTACTTTTATTTATATGTTAGTTTATTAAAAATATTTAAGATTTGTATTATTATTCTTGATATTTAAATTATCAAAAGATCATAATTTTTCTTAGTCTCTTGTTAAGTATACCTACTAAAAGGCTACTAATTCTCTATATATCAAAATTAGTAACTTTCACTCCCCCTAAACCATATATGTCTGGAGATGGGTTTAAAACTTTATAATTCTCACGAAGCACTAAATGATACTTATTTAAAAAAACATAGTTTTGTGACGAGATTCATAATTTTTAAGTGATAAAATTGATGGTTATGTTTGGAATTGTTGTAAAATAAAGTGCTATAGTTGTCGACATTTGAATATTTTCTTATAATAAAACTTTTGTCATTATTTAATAGTTTTTTAAAAAATATATTATACAACAATATAATTATTAAATTATATAAAATATTAATTAAAATTAAATTAATAGTAATAAATTAACACTTTTATTAAAGTGATGTAAGAAAAAAAGGTGGTAGAAAAGCTATCTCAAACACAACCCACTTGTATATATCCGTGTAAATCTATTTTAAAAAAATTACATACGTGTAAATATTCTTTAAAAAAATCATTAGCCATAGATTTCACCAATCCAACCATTGAAATGATGATGCTGTTTTAGCCCCCCCAAAAAAAATGATGCTAGTAGTAAAATATTTTACTTGTTGGAATTAAAAATTAACGACTATTTTCTTAATTAATTTTAGGTTAAAATTTACACATACGTAAAACCTCCTAATAAAAATCCAACCGAACGCATTTTATTACCAAATAAAAGATTGCATTGAGTAAAATAAATCTTTGACTATAGACCAACTTTTTTTCTTTTTCTTTTTCTTTTTCTTTTTCTTTTTCTTTTTCTTTTTCCTACCGAAAAAGAAAGAGAGCCGATAATTAGTACATACCTACTAGTCGGACCATCCCAAAAGGCAAAAACCTTTAGTGATTAGCCTAAGTGCCTAACCAAATGAATCTTGTTTTCCTTTTTCTTTTCTCTCTTTTTTTTTTTTAAAGGGCAAAGAAAAACCTAACTCAATAAATTTCCTCTTCAATTGAGACTCAAAAGATGAAAAAACTCAAGAAATTTCCTCAAATGCACCACAAATCAAATATACAAAGCTTAACATTTTATTTCCATAATACAATACACCATCCAAACAAGCAAACTAAATGAGTTTATATATATATATAATTTAAAAAATATTATATGACCTAAATTACATAAAATTATATAACATTAACTATTATATAAAAATAAGATCATGATATTAAAGATTCTCTCTTATTTGATAACTTTTATTTTATAATTTAATTAATTTAAATCATAAAATAGAAGCATGGAATAAGAGAAAAAAAAAAA